GTGTCTCATGACAATGACGTAAGCGAGTGCGACGTTTGTGACAACAGCTGTGTGCAGATCAACAATGGATCATATATCGAGTGCAGGAGAGAGTATGAGCGTGCAGCGTTTAAAGCGTGGAAGTACTGACCTTACTTTGAGTTTGATTCCATAAAAAGTGACACAACCATTGTGCGTGGGAAGAAAACTTCTTTTTACAGCGAAAAAAACCCCTAAACTTCCAAGCAAGCACCGAGTAGCTACGACGTAATGGGAAACTCACAGAGAAACTCGCGGATTCTTCCACTGACCGCTGCGGCACACCTGCACCAGGGTAAACCTCCGCCTACCCCACTCCTGCTTTACAGGTGAAAATAGAGCAACAGGACCGCTAGTCTTTGATGTTATTTATTTTCTGCTGTGTTTTACTTGCATCTATTTGAAAGACTGAGTGTAAACACACACAAAAATAAAATAATTATGTGCTGGAATGTGCAGAAAATAGGTTCAAATGTTAAACAAATTTCTTCCAGTCAGTGAATGTTGCATATAATTAAATTATTGCTTGATGCATAAAGTTAAAAGATTAAAACTAATAAAACAAGTTTTAAAAAGAGACTTTTCCATTTGATTACATTTTGTATGATGGATTATGCAGAAAAAGTAGAATTGGGTTGAAAGATCTATCGCTTTATCACCTATTCAGGTTGTAAATCGTGTTTTTAAAAAGTAACTAAGTAATTAATTACTTTTGAAAACAAGTAATCAGTAAAGTAACAGGATTACTTTTTGGGGAAAGTAATCAGTAATTAGTTACTGATTACTTTTTTCAAGTAACTTGACCAACACTGCATACAAGGTCTTAAATAATCCGGCCCCATCTTATCTTAATGACCTTATAGTACCATATCACCAAATTAGAGCAATTCGCTCTCACACTGCAGGCTGACTTGCCTGCCTTCAGTTTTCAGGCCCCTCTTCTGTTGAACCAGCTTCCAGTTTGGATTCAGGAGACAGACACTATCTCTACTTTTAGGCTTAAAACTTTTCTTTTTGCTAAAGCATATAGTTAGGGCTGGATCGATCGGGTGACTCTGAATCCTCCCTTAGTTATGCTGCAATAGGTGTAGGCTGCTGGGGGATTCCCATGATGCACTGAGTATTTCTTCTTCAGTCACCTTTCTAACTCATGTGTTCATAGACCTCTCTGCATTGAATCATACTTGTTATTAATCTCTGTCTCTCTTCCACAGCATGTCTTTCATCCTGTCTTCCTTCTCTCACCCCAACCGGTCGCAGCAGATGGCCCCGCCCCTCCCTGAGTCTGGTTCTGCCGGAGGTTTCTTCCTGTTAAAAGGGAGTTTTTCCTTCCCACTGTCGCCAAAGTGCTTGCTCATAGGGGGTCATATGATTGTTTTTGTTAAATGCAGAATTCATGGTTTCATTTACCACATCAATGTGTTAGTTTTATGCCAGATGTAACGGGATTCAAATCTTCCAACAAGTTCAGCTTTTGTCTCGTCAGTACAGAGGTTTTTTGGCAAATGTGAGACAAACCTTCGTTCTTTTTGGTCAGCAGTGGTTTTCTCCTTGGAACAAAGATGGATGCCATTTTTGCCAAGTTTCTTTCTTATTGTTGAATCATGAACTCTGACCTTAATTGAGACATGGGAAGCATCACCAATGTCCCAGGTTTTCTCTGTTTGTGTGTAATGGCTCTCACCGTGGTGCACTGGAGTCCCAAATCCTTAAAAATGGCTTTGTAACCCTTTCCAGGCTGATTGAGTTGAGTGACTTTGGTTTTCAGGTGTTTCTTCAGATCGTGGCATGATGTGCTGCTTTTAGAGATCTTTTAGCCTGCTTTACTTTGTCAGACAGGTTACATTTAAGTGATTTCTTAATTCAACATGTCTGCCAGTAATCAGGCCTGAATGTATTTAGTGAAACTGAACTCAGCTTTCCAAAAAAAAAAATGCAGCTATTCAGTTAATTTATGACTTAAACCCTCGCTTAATCAATGAAATCATAATTTAAAAACTGCATTGTGTATTTACTCATGTTATCTTCATCTAATATTAAAATGTGTTTGATGATCTGAAACATATAGGTGTGATAAATATGCAAAACACTAGGAAATCAGGAAGGGCGCAAATATTTTTCACATCACTTGCCTGTGTAATCAGATACTTTTGCATACCTGTGATTTGATGCAGATCTCTGGCTATATTTATTAATAGTGAACAGACCCGGAGCAAAGACATGACCTGTATACCTCCCATTCCACTCCTTTTCATTACTGCCTGATGAGGGTTGGAACATCCCTTAAGGGCTTAGGCAGTGCACTAATAGTGGCTGTCTGGAGACTGAGAAGTCTTGTGCAGAGTGCAGTCACCCATGACATACTGAGCTCTAACCACTCATTCATTCAGCTAGAATGAGTCGACCCCACTAGCAGCAGCACCTCTTGTAAACACAAGTGGTCGTAATGCAAAAAATACTAAACTTTTATAATCATTTAGCACAAGAAATCGCACACTGGAGACATTTCAGAGCAATCAGAAACAGCAGGTGTTTAAGAGGCGTTCTTTTTCTGGGAAAAACCACAACTCAGCCGATGAGTTGTGCACGCTATTGCAGCTAGTACATATTAGATAAAGATGTATCACATGGAGGGTTACAAAAGCATTAAAAATGAAAAAGAAGATGTGACGGCGCCACTGCTCCTCAGTAGTCATGGCTGCAGATCATGCTCTCATTCAAACTCAGCCTGTCATTACTGCGTCTGTTTGTGGCAATATCAAGTTGATAAAATCTGTCCACGGATGTTTAGGCAGACATGATCTTCTGGCATTGTTTCTACACATTCACATCCACAAACACATGTACAGACAAATGCTGAAAACAGTACAGGCCACTCGGTCGCAGCCAGTAATTTTGTTATCGCAGGCTGTGCATGTCTGCACAGGTGTTTGCAGTCATTCTGGCTGAAAAGACCACTGCTGGCATTGTCAGGGTTCAGTATTGCTTTTGATTCCTGCATTCTTGTTTATTCTTGTGAGATCTGAATTCTTGTTTTAATTCAGTTCTTCTTGTATTTTTGCGTTTGTTTGGGGTTTTTTGGCTCCTGTTTGGATTTCATTGCTATTGGATGGTTCACACTGCAGGTAATGTGGTATTGAATCCGATACATATCTGATGTTTTAGAAAGCGACTGCTGTTTGAATGGTCACGTCGCATTAAATCCGTCTTTTACGTCACTGACACAAAACAGACGCTAATTATCAGCGCAGGAGAAGCGTCCTAGAAGACATCGTAAAATCTTCCTGGCCATCCAGTGAAGATGTTAGTGAAACTGTTGGGAAGACAACGTTGGAGAAACGCGAACATTTTATTTGTACTGTATAATCTGCAGATTCTTACAGAAATCTGCAACTATCCTTTGAAGCACCGCTCCTCTCTAAAACAGCAATAAGGATCATTATTAGGCCATATGTAAATAACAAAATAACTTTATAACTTCAAGCAAAATTGGGAAACATAAAGTCCAAAACAGTCAAACAATATAGTTTGCTCTGGGTCTAAACAGAGCGCGTTGTGTGTCTTCTTTTGCGCATTCATAAATAGTCACACTGCAATGCTCCACACAGTTGGGTGTGTGGAACATTTCAGTGTGACTATTTATGAACAATAACATCCTATATATACAAAATTCCTTACAATGAAAGACCCTCAAAGGCAATCACACAGTTTTCTGATCCGTTACTGACATGCAAAAGCTTCATTAGTGTAAACTGGTTTGAATTATTATAGAATACTTCTGGAAAGTAAATGTTTTATTTTATAATGTTATTACTGACGTGTCAAATGTAAATGTCAAAAGGAAAAAAGTTAACTCTGAGCGTGGGGAATGAGAATAAGAGAATGAGAGTGGGTGATTTAAACTTCATTTTATGGCTCCTCTTGTCCACATTTTGAATTGTCTTTGAGCGCAAACATCCAGTATACTCATCACCGGGCACACCAGCTCCTGGCATGGAGCTTCACACATACACAGTTTCATGTGTATGTGTCAAAGAGGGACAAGTTGTAAAATGTTGTATAATTAACGCATGAAGAAACAGTAGAGAAAAAAACATGCAATTATGCAAATAACCATATTCATTCATTTATTATAAGACGACCCAACATTCATCAGCATTTCAATAAAGATGTTAATTTTTCATTTGGCTACGATTAAGCTGCATTTCTTTGCCAGCATGTTCTACAACAGTTTTTTACTGAGATCATACTGAGGTTTAACCTCTTCATACTGCTGGAAATGATTCATTTTTAATCATCTTAGAGTTACTTAGACATACAGTATATGTGACAGGCAGAGGTTGAGCTATAATAAGAAGTTACAGGCCAAAAACTTTATAGCCAAATAAAAACCTCTGGTGAAACCAGCAGTATGTGCTTAACCTTGGGGTTTTTTGTAACTTGGGTGCAATGGGGCATGCTCTAAACACAATATTGACATAATCAGACCATCGTTTACTTTTGGCACTTATTTTGTCAACTCATAAACTCAACTCATTGAGAGAATAGTTATTTGCTTTTGCAAAACGTCAGCAGATTTCAAAACTGATTATTAGAAGTTGAAGTAATTTCTGTGGGAAGAAAATGGCGGTAAATCCACTGACTACTAATCAGTGGTACATTTCTTGTGGCAATCCCTTCGGTAGCCACTGACAGCGTGGCTGTCGAAGTGGCATTAACTTTGGATCCATCTGCTTTTATGGTACAGTGTGGGTCCAACATTTTTTGTTAGCAAAAAGGTTAAGCTAAAGCGGGGTACCCAATCTCAGTCCACGAGGGCCGGTGTCCTGCAGGTTTTAAATCTCACCCTGGGTCAACACACCTGAATCACATGATTAGTTCATTACCAGGCCTCTGGAGAACTTCAAGACATGTTGAGAAGGTAATTTATCCATTTAAATCAGCTGTGATGGATCAAGGACATATCTAAAACCTGCAGGGACACCGGCCCTCGTGGATTGGGATTGGGGACCCCTGAGCTAAAGGTTCAACAGGTTTATTGAAACACAAGGTGAGTATTGCATGGATTAGTACTTACAGAGCGTTTTTCTACTCCGACTGCTTTCTCACTACAAGCCTCATCTACACACACTTGTTCACCAATTCATACATGCTTTTTTCTATGCCGGAGCACTTTTAACCCAACGTTCACACACTCAAACAGATGCACCCCAGTGTTCAGTATATTGGCTTTCAACATGCAAGTTGGAGGAGCCAGGGATTGAGCCATGGACCTCCCAATTAGTCTATCGCGCACTCTACAGGAGGTAGACCGGCTGTGGCTCATAATTACAGAGGTTCGTAAAAGTTTGCAATCTTCATTTCTTCCAGTCTTGAATACAATGAACTAAGGTCCCCAGAGGCTTCAAGGCTTAGATTAACCAGTTATTCTTTATTTTTGGAGCTGTGTTTCATCCAGTAGGTGAACAACAAATGGCACATACATGCTGGTGAGGCAGAACAAGGGAGGTTTAGCTATGTTTATATCTTTAGAAAAGGTAACAAGATACAAAACAGTCTGAGCAACTCTAATGAGACTGGTGAGCCGGAGTTAAATGCTGAGGATAAATGATAATGAGACACAGGTGTGCTAGCCTGAGCCTGGAGAAGCCACGCCTATTTGGGGAGCTGAACACAGATGACAAGTATTTAAAACTAAACAATGAGCTGAAAAAACCCAAATATCAGTACAAGGCTTAACTGTATACCTCCCATGTTGTAGCCTTGGAACAGTAAATAATGATTCAGCCACTACTGTGTAAATGTATAGACATTTCTCCACACGATAATGATAATGAATACAGAGCATGTATTAATTTGTATATTTTTATATCATATCTGTTCAACCTTTTAAATATTGCCTCACAAAAAAAAAAAAAAATTCAGCGCTTCTCGTTTGTACCTTTTCTTATCATATTTATTCAGTCACACAACAAGCCCAGAGCAAAGAGAACAGTTGCCAGGTTCCCACAATGCAACGTGTTGCCCTTTGTTTGTTGACATGGCAAATAAATGGTGCAATTATTTCGTGATAGTTACTTTGCCTCTGTGAGAATGCAGCTGGCATTAGATTCACTGAGACTCTTTACTGTACCGTGTAATAACAATAGTGAGGAGCAGTTAGACAATGTTAGTGTTGGACATAAATGGAAGATTGTGTCTCCAGTTTTCTTTTTACAGCTGCTTTCTTCCTTGTAGCTTTCTCTCTCTCGCTCTCTAATGTTTTGCTGCTCATCTGGAGAGCATTAGCAAAATTGTCTGTAATGGCAGTGAAGCTGTTTAATTTTGTGATCATGCAAGAAGACAAAGTGTAGGAGATGTCACATAAGATTTTTAAGATGCTCAGATTAGCTGAGGCCCTTGGAAGGGGCCTAGATAAAGACAGTCTGTCCTGTGAAAGCAGATAGTATAGCATCCAAAAGAAAGTACTTATATAGACAGGCGGTTCAATCGAACAGACTGACCCACCTAAAAGTCCTCAAGGTCGAAAAAGAGTTAATACAAGAAAGAAAGTGGAAATAATTACATGATAGTGGAAAAGGGTATAGCTATTTATTAGCTCAATTTATTTATAGCTATTAAGTTTTTAAAACATTTTTAGAGCCTTAAAGTTGTAGAAATCTTGTAAATCTTCCAAAAAAACCAAAAGTCTTAATGATAAGATTGAATAATGAAAAGTGAATCAGCACAGCGCTTGGTTTGTTTCTCCATCCAATTTCAGCATTGGTGCTGAATAAAGGTAGCACTTTATTGGAAACAGATGTAAGCCAACATGCACTGCTCTCCGTTGTAATCCACAATGATCCTCTAAGCAAAGCCCAACTGATTAAAATTGCTTAAGACTGATACACGTAGCGATGTTTGGTCATTTCAAAATCCATCATTTTCTTTATCTGCTGATATTTTTTTCTTTCAGACACATGAAACTTAAACAGATTTCCCTGAAATTTGTTCAGTTATTTGTTTACTCATTTATGCCGACTGGTTGAAGGATGTTTCTACTGTCTCTTTTTTTATTGTTTTGTTGTTATAGATGCAGTTATGGCTTCATCTCCATGTAGCTAATAATCACCCATTAATATCAGTCTGTGAATAAATCAGTCAGGCTCTACCTTCAACTCATTTACATTTAATGCATCGTTTACACAAGTTATACATAAGAAATCATCTAAAAAAACTTGAATTTGCTGGACACTATAATCAGATTCAACTACACATTAACACAAATATCTAATCAGCCAGCAACTCAGTGCATTTAGGCGTGCAGACATGTCAAGACGACCTGCTGAAGGTCAACCTGAGCAGCAAAATGGGGACAAAAGTTAATGAAAATGGTCTGGCATTTCATTTCTGATCTGCTGACATTTTCCCTCATGCAAATATGTCTGTTTTTCTTTTTTTTTTTTATTAAATTAAATTAAATAATTGAAGATATGCTCTTTTAAAGATGATTTTACAATATTTAATGTTAAATATTTTCAATAGAATCAATATTTTTTGGTATTTAATCTCTTGTTTTCAGGAATCTAAGGAATTATCCAACTGACCTTTACATGCAGAATTTCAGAGTCAGTAGGTGGACATAAATGATGCACTACATGAGTATAGATCAGCAGACATGAGCACACTGAGCAACTGGATTTCATTCATTTTCATGTGATATTCATAAGAAACAAACAAATTAAATTAAAAAAAACTATGTCTACAAACTATAAGGGAACAGAAAGGATACATGCTCCTGGTGTCATGAGTCGATACAGTTTACATGTAATATAAAATAAGCAGTTAATGTTATAACTGTGATATAATCCTTCCATATTGCATAGAAGATGCGACTTTTGTTTCTACCTCAGTAAGCTGTTTAAGATAAAATCTTGTTGATGTTTATTTATTTTTTCTTCACAAGATGTTAATTCATGTAAATGAGTCACTAAGCCATGTCTCAGTGGTTTACTTCTCCTTTACTTATTCCCTTTTTTATTTCTTTTTTTAGGAAAGACCTAGGTACACTGTGTTCCCAGCAATATTCACCCATCCGGACCATTGAACTCAAGAGTTCCAGTCACTTCCATAACCACAGGTTATGTATAAAACTCAGCACTGGGCATGGAGACTGCTTCTACAGACATGAATGCATCTCTCTCTGGAGCTCAGTGAACTCCAGCAAGGTATTGTGATAGGACGCCACCTATGCAACAAGTTCAGTCGTGAAATTCCACAGTCAATAGTTAGTGGTATTATAACAAAGTGGAAGTAATTGGGAATGATAGCAACTCAGTCATGAAATAGTAGCCCACATTAAAATTATGTATAATGTCCAACTTCCTCCAGTGCCAGTCACCACCGACCTTAGAACTTCATGTGGACTGCAAAGTGTCAAAGGTGCGTAAAGCACATCATGGCTGGACTTTAGAGCAGACTTCTCTGTCTGGAAATGGGCCAACATTCCCAGAAATTCTCCCAGATCATCTGTTAGATTTCACTATACAGGATCCAGCTTACAGTATATGCACACTCTGAGAATATGGACTTATCAGCTGTGATAACACTAAAGTTGGGTAACTTTAAGACTGTTGGCATTTCTCTTTGAGCACATTTGAGGACCATGATGAGCTAAAAATAGAAGCAGCACCGAAAGTGCTCCAGAGCTGTGCAAGAACATAGCAATGAGCGGTGCACTGGCTAATTTAATAATAGTTATGGCTTTTGGCCCAGAAATTTACAGCTTACCTTTTTTTTTTTTTTTTAAATAGGTTTAGATACCAGGGGTGGAGAGCTTTTAGATCTTTCATAGTGGATTGATGGACTCTATCAGTGTAAAACTGGAACTGAGCTTTCGTCTGTTCCTGTAATTTGGCCACATTTTTTGCCTTCAGTTGACAATAATATAGATGGATGTTTAATATTTAATAAGTAGAAGGGGGAATTATAGCCACTGGCCCCTGGAGCCAGACCTCCTTCCTGTACTTTTGCTGATTTGGCAGGATGTACTCAGCCACTTAGCCTCTCAATTACCACTAAACACTAAACAGCTACTGAGATCCCCCCCCCCCAAAAGGGACACGCACCAGCACAGTGGTGAAGTTCACATACATTACTTACATACCACTGGTACAAAATGGACAGATGGGAATAAAGACGCTTGTAGTTTCTTGAGCTTACACCAGATGTTTGCTCTTAAGTGACATAAATCCAAATCGGCCTTTTATGGTGAGAACAGTTAATGGGCCGATGGTCACCAATGCAAAGTACATGGGAGTTGTTGCCACTTAAAGCCTGGACACATATGAAGATGCTTTGCTGAATTATAGGAAAATAAGATGAGAGAATCTTTGCAATGACCTCGGTCGTTTTCCAGAGCAGGACATCATGTAAGGTGACATTTATAGCAGACATAATAGCACCTCCATGATATGACCTCAGGAGCCACAAGTGTTCAGGCTTAGAAAGGAAAAAAAATGATTGTGGGTGATTTCACATTCATCAGACTCTGCAGGTGTGTGCTGCATTTTTAAAAATGTTAGTTTTTAAAGTCCATTTTGTTGCTGAAGAGTGACAGCTTAAGAATACAATGCAGGCACCATATAATGCCTTATATCAATTAGCTTTCTTTGTGTCCCATTTTAACGTACTTTGGTCTCTGATTGTACTCATTCACCACAGCATGGTTCACAGGTCGCATGTAGAGCTGTCTGCCATAAAAGACTGACAGACAAAACCAGATTTTTCACAATCAGAGCTGAAAGCCAGCCTGCAGGCATATATTTTTTATACACTGGTCCACTCTGAGATATACTGCAGAGCTATTTTACAAAGCTTCACTTCAAATGTAAAAAGCAAAGGAAAAGGTTTATATTATAAGAGAATGCTTGCATATGTTTTAAGTATTCAAAGACCATGATGATATCTGACTTTGAATACAAAGCCAAAAAAAATCAATGGTTGCCTGGTAATTGCATTGAATTTTTTTTCGCTGGTAGAAATCAATTGCAAGCAGTAGAGGAAACCAACAAGTCGTCCACAGGTTGACCAGCTGGTTGATGCTTTTCTGTCCTTTGTCCTCTCACAAAGTTTACATGTAGCATCTGCTCTTGAGAAAAAGTAAACTGGCTGGAGTTTGGTTCTTATAAAATATTTTCTTACTTCAAATTTTATTCTAATATGCTAAAAAGGTTTCTTTCTTTCTTTCTTTCTTTTACATGCAAAGAACCAGTTTCATATCAGGATATAGTTTACTTTCATAGCACGCCTTCTTCAAGATTAGTCAAATGAAAATGTCCAAAAAACCCATTTACAATTGTATTTTAATAATAATAATAATAATGTATACTTTATTGATCCCTGTAGGGAAATTCTTCTCTGCATTTAACCCAGGGGTGGGCAATTCCAGGCCTCGAGGGCTGGTGTCCTGCGGGTTTTAGATCTCACCCTGGGTCAACACACCTGAATCACATGATTAGTTCGTTACCAGCCCTCTGGAGAACTTCAGGACATGTTGAAGAGCTAATTTAGCCATTTAAATCAGCTGTGATGGATCAAGGACACATCTAAAACCTGCAGGGACACCGGTCCTCGAGGCCTGGAGTTGCCCACCCCTGATTTAACCCGTTCACTCAGTGAAGCAGTGGGCAGCCATTGGGCACCCGTGTGTAGGGACGGTACCTCGCTCAGAGAGGCTGTTCAGTGGATTCGAACACCTGACCTCCGATTATGGGGCCACCACTCTACCTACTGAGCTATCTCTGTCCCCTTTTAAACTGTCTTCCAGTTTTTCTGTGATTCCTCCTCTCTGCTTTTATTCACATAAAAGTGTGTGCAATGGAGGAACATTAGTAGTCAAAAGCAGACAATGATGTCTGACATGTGTCACTTTGTGATATGCAATAAAAACACAAGGCTTCTGTGTGGGACTGCAGGTCAGTGAAGCTTTGAAGAATCATCCATAAACCTCATAGTGCCAAGAAAACTAATATAAGCCAGCTGCAAATACCAGTGTGTTGTTTCTTGAACAAAACCCAGTTATTGAAGGTGAAGGATGAAGAGTGTGATGCTGTTTTTAATTAATGGGGAGCACCAGCTCCATAGAAATATAATTTTGGACCAGCTGATATTAGCTTTGTCTGTCTCAGTTTTGATAAACAACAAAAACTTTAAAAAAAAGAAAGAAAACTCATAATGTCAACATTTTATTATGATATCCTTACACTAGGAAAATAGTGGTTGGAGACCTCAGCACAACAAAAATTACTGTGACCATTTGCAATGAACCTGCAGTCTTGTTGCCTTTGAAATTGCTGCTTTAAAAATAGGGACCAACCATCTTCAAAGTCTTCAAGAATCAGTCTGCTATCGGTTTGTGATTGCCTGGGGTCCACTTGGCAATTACATGAAATCGAATTGCGATAATATGGTGATTGTTACTTTTGTGAAAATTGCTAATCTGTTTCTACACACAGAAATTCATAGTAAACACTACTCACTTACAGAATCCAGGCAGAACCTCATTGATATATTGATACTCATAATAGTGACATAGTTAGTTACTGTACCACATAGCAGATCAGAATATACATTTAGCAAAAAAAGGTGAGTAGAGGTGGATTAGAGATGATTTACAGTTCTTGGTGCAGACTGACTGCTGAGTGTTTGGCAATCTTTATGCATTCATAAATTAGATTGCAATTATTAACTGTGATCCCAGTCAGTTCTATTGCAGTTGTTTGGGAGCTGGTTGCTTCCCACTATGCAACCCAGCTGCCCAGAGGTTGAGGGTGCAACACTCACAACCTCTGGATGAGCAGCTGGTTACTGCTACTGCTTGCAATTGATTTCGACCAGCAATAAATTCAATAGAATTACCAGGCAACCATTGATTTTTTTTTTTTTTGCAAGGGGGTTTCCATCCTTTGTTTTTTACTCTGGTGTGACAGAGACACAAGGCTTTTATCCTTTGGGCTGTCAGTAACTACCTTTTTTGACATTAACTAATTAGTTATTTGTTCTATAAAACATACAAATACTGTGAAAAATTCAGTTAACTATGATGTAATAAAATGAATTATCTCACTTTTCTACTAACACCCCATCCTCCAGTTTTGGTGCAATAAATTAATTTCATTTAGTCAATATCTGCAATTCTTTAAGCTTTAGTCCTACAGATAAGACTTATTTGAAGTCTAATGGATCACCATTTGATTGTTACAAGCTTATCATTTGCTATTTAGCATTTTATTTATCAGTAGCATTGTTCTTGCTGAATGAAAACTGCGGCGCCACAAGTCTCTGAGCCCTACTTCAATACTTGATACTTTTTCCACACTAATCTACAGTAGATAACTCTTTGTGACTGCTTCTACCATAACCACACGCTTTTATCCTTTCGTCTTTGTTTGACCCTCTCTCCTCCTTGTTTGTTTCTCTCTCTCACTATCTGTCTCTTCAAGATAATTTACAGTTGGACATTAGCCATCCTAGTACTCTCACTCACTCCCCTAATCACTTACTGGACCTGCTCCAGTGCATCAGTGCTAGCCTTCAAAATTGTCTGCATTGCAGGGGAGAGCTGCTGACAGAGAGGAATGGAAAGATGTGAGGGAGGTTAATTTACAGTATGTGTTAGGGGAGAATAAGGCTTGTTTTTGCCTTTGGCTGACTGACTTTTCATTGGAGGTGTAGATGCAGTGGGATGCTGTAGGGTTACGTCTTAGAATAGAAGCTGTGCCAGGCGCCGGCGTCTGAGATATCAGAAGCGTTTGCGTCACACTGTATGTGCAGGTTTATCTATAATGGAAAGACAGAGTTGGAAAATCTTGTTTAGGACTACTTAAATTATTTACACTTTCCTTTTTATCGTATTTTAAATCAGTGCATATTTTTCCAGTAATTAGACTTACTGGATTACCAAAAAACAGACAAACTTAGGGTTTGCCCAGCCTGTCTTTGATAGACATTACACAGGATCTCAAAGTGTCTACTTTGGTGAACCTCATTGCGTCCCCCAAAAGCGTTCTTCTAAAAGACTAACCACAGAACATTGCTTTATTACCCTCCAGCCGTGTATATTTTGGCATACATCAAAATACATAGAGTATCATCCCAGTGAGTATGCTTCTACCCCCCAAATCTCAAGGCATAGCCGGGGGAGAAAGGTGTTGGTTTTGGCACTCTC